ACGAACACCAACAACTTCATCAGGAGTTGAACCCAGCATTGTCAGTTTTAGTGACGAACTCTTAACAATTAGAGCCATTAAGTCGACGTCCAATGAAGTGACTTCAGTTCCAATATAGAGGAGCGATCATTGTGACAAATGACCAACTCTAAACACACGAAGTTCAGTGAAGGGTTCTTTTTTCGACAAATTTATTAATAAGCCGTACAATCGTATATATATGTCTGAGATCTTAAGTATTAATTCCTTCAGGACATATGGACAATAAAGTCTTCATGATGTAATAGAAAGGTTATAGTACCAGGTTATCTAGAATAAGTAATCACAATAAAAGATTGTATATACACATAAAAAGCCATGTGAAATTAAGAAGTTAACAGTGGATTATATTGTGAATGGAAAGTAAGATAATTAAATGATAAGTTAAGGTATTAGAAAAATTAAATGAAATGATGTCATATCAAGAACATTTACGAAGAAACACCAAGGGGATTTGGGGAACAATTAAATCGATGGAAATAATAATAATAATGATAATAATAATAATGAGTCATTATAGATATGTATGAAGTCTACCGGTCTCAACTTCTCACTAAAACTTCAGGAACATCATGATGTAAATCACTGGTAAATTAAATAAAATAGTTTAGATAAAGAGCTTTCATGAAGGCTGGTTTAATTTACAAGTTGTCCAGTGCTTCCTAGTTTTTAATTTTTCCCCAACTGTTATCCATTGGTGATGAGTCCAGCGAACATATTAAGCCTATATTCATCGAACGCTATCAACTATTTAACTGTCTAATTATTCAGTACCTCAATCACTGACAGATTTTGTCTTGTTCAGTATTATAGAAGGGGTTTTGTGGAGATTTAGTATTTATCATAGTTGAAAGCGTGAGTCAATTGAAGCTAGACCACCATGGAAAACCTGGAAACACTGGACGGCCGTTTCGTCCTATTATGGGACTCCTCAGCAGTGCGCATCCACGAACCTGCTCTCGCGAGCGAGATTCTAACCCAGGACCTACTAGTCTCGAGCCGAAGCTCTTAACCGATAGACCACTGAGCTGGCATCCAACGGTGTTAATGTCTAACTTCATTGTTCAGTATTCCTTATATAATTTGTAATTGTTTGTTTCTTTAATTTTGACAAACAATGCAAAATATTTTTAAACTGAATTCATTTTCAGTAATTGAGATCATGAGTCAATTGAAGTTAGACCACCATGGAATACCTGGAAGCACTATAATATCCACAAAACTCTTCCTGATATTAATGAAAATGTGCTCACTAGTGACTGGCTTTAAGAGGTATTTCATGGAGTTCTAGTGAGAAGCAGTGACCAATGGAGTTCAACCGGGTCTGCTGTGAGATAGTAACTCACTGATGACAATGGTGGATGTGTCGTTCAATTTCTTGAATTGGTTGAAGTTAGACATTAACACCGTTGGATGCCGACTCAGTGATCTAAAGGTTAGATGCTCGCGCGCGAGACTAGTAAGTTGTGGGTTCAAATCTCGTGAGGCGGGATCATGGATGCGCACTACTGAGGAGCCCCACAACAGAACGAGACGGCCATACAGTGCTTCCAGTTTTTCCATGGTGGTCTAGCTTCAATTGATTCATGATCTCAACTATTGAAATTACTATAATATCCACAAAACCTCTTCTGATATTAATTCATTTTATTTTGGAATTCATTTAATTAGCAACAACCTCTCACAACAATAAATGAAAAATACACTGACGTTCAATAATAATACCCCAAAAATTAGCTTTATTCACTTGGTGTTGAATAGTTGGTGTTGTATCTTCACAAATAGGACGAAACGCGTGTCCGAGATTCCACTGCTAGCTACTATCTATCTTTGCTTAAAAAAGTAGCTCGTCATAACAATCATATCAAAGCTATCAAGGTAATCCATATTCATAAGAATACTTATTATGTAGATTAATAAAATTATTATGATTATAGACAAAGTAAATAATGAATTACATAATAAACCATTATCAATAATTTGGTACAATTTATTGATCATAATTATAAATATATATATGATAATACTTATTGATACCTTCTTCATCTTAAATGTTTACAATTTATCTTATCAATTTGGGATAATAGAAATAAGGTAAATATGATAACTAACTGATTAGTAATCTATATAAGATTGAATAGAAAGGGAAGGTAATTAGTTCTATTCAAATGATGATATAATTCATTATTCCTTTATCAGGATGATAAGTGACAATGTTAAATAATAATTATTATTATTTTATGACACTTAATTGATATATATAAATATAAGTGATAAACACTTAGACATGCCCCCCCCCAAAAAAAATACACTATAAACAAATATACAAGTTTTTATTATGAGAGTTACATATATACAAATGGAATGTGAATGATGATGATGGTGGTGAATGTTATTCTTAAAAGAAAGTTTGGCGGTGAATGATTAGTGATCATTGTGTTCCACTTATATTAATATAAATAAGGTCAAAGTTTGTATTTTGTAAGTAGTGTTACTAATATTAATATGTTTCCTTGCCTTAATAATAATAGTATTAATAATAATAATAATTAGTGGTTTAAATAACAGATGTTTCAATGCATTTATTTATAATCCTTTGACTTAATTTACATGCTTTTTAAAGAAAAAGAACAAGCACACACATATCCATGAGTTAAAAAAACATTATTGATGCAGTAGTCATTTGCCATTGACTTTTTTAAAAATTCAAGTATGGGGTACCAGTCTTGAACCCTTAAGGGTTTATGTATATATAGAAAGGGGGGTGAGTGATTTTAATCAGTAGTGGAAAGATTATGATTATTCGAACAGGGGTCAATTGTCTACGTATAGTTGTATGTATTTAAAATGTTTAACTGTTCGCTTATCAAACATTTAATCTATAGTTTAAATAATCATAGTATTAAATAATGGCAGCAGTTAATTTTCATCACTAAAGCGAATAACAATAGATGTCGGTATGAAGTAAGTAAATAATAATAAATAAAAAAAAACGAGAAAAGGAATTGAGTGTTAATTGTTTGTTATTTCTGTTTCTGTGTATTAATTTCAGTATTGTTTATTTTTCACTAACTTCTTCCCCGTCCAATCTCTCTTTTCTATCTAATTTTTTTTTCCATTTTCGCTTAATGTATAAAGAGTATATGTTTGTATAAACGCTGGTGGTTATGCTAAACATGTTAAGCGGTGAAAACATTCAGAAACCATTATTATCACCAGTAAGTATTTATCCACAGAATTTAAAATGAGGAAACATAATTACAATTAATAAGAAAAGAATAGACAGATTAATGACTTAGTTACAAATCATAATCATATTGATTACTAAATCATTATTAATAAGGCTTGATTCAAATGGAAAATAGGAAAGATAATGATATTGTATTGACATGATTAGGAAATTGATTCAAACAATATGCTTTTATATTAGTTGAAAACCCAATATATGTCGAACTGTTATGAAGACTTTATAGTGTCTTGTGTATACATTTCAGCAATAATGTCAAAAACTAAAAGCTAGCTGAAATTCTGTATGCTGATTTACTTTGAAAACTTGTAATCTCACTAGATTCAAAGTTCTAGCAACTGCCCTTGACAGGATCAATGCATTATCGTCCGGAGTATATTGATAGAAGTATTCAAATATCACATATATCCTACCATATAATTGTATTATTCTATTGTAATGAAACTTATCACAGATGCACCAGATGAAGCTAAATAACAGAACTGAATTTTGAAGAGGACCTAGTTCGTACTTGCTGAATAAAATGTGGTTTTTAGATGTTAAATTTCATCGAATCATTTGACGAATCAATCAGTGTAAAAGTCTAAATTCTACAACCATTGATCAAACAACCCAGTGGTAATATTTTTGTTTAGTCCCGACGGTCAGTTAGTCATGATTGGCCCATTCGGGCACATAAGTGCCTTCATCCAATTCATCACACAGTATGAATACAATATAAAGAAATTACCAAGATAAAAAATATCGAAAACTGTAGTAGCAGTGATAATGAAACACTAACGACTAACAGTGTGTTTCGAAAAGACGAAATGAAAACGTATATATGATGAAATACTAGGACTGAAGATCGGAAGCATGACAAAGAGGGATACAATCGTATTGCAGTGATCGATTATAGGCCATACCACCCAGCTTTTTTAACTGCTGATTGCTGTACTCATGCTGGGGTCAACCAGATAGCCTATATCTGCCAACAAAAATCAGTTAAAAAGCCAATCACTTCATGGGATGATGTCATACTTTTACTCGGTCGCTCACATATTTTTCGTGCACTAGCTTGCATTGTCCTTCGAGGAAGTCAATGTTTAGGCATAGGTAACACATTTCCCAATTACATTAGTCAATAAAGATGCACAATCTAAAATGATTCGACACAATGGCTTTGTGCCGTATTCCTAATTTTGAAACTCCGCACTCTATCGTTATGCGAAATGCGGACAACGCTTTAAGAACACTTGTGACCGAAAATGCACAGACTGTCCGTGTCTCCTACTTTCATAAACCAGATTATATAGTCACAGAGTAATATAGAGAGAATTACTGGGAATTGTCTGAAGTCTATATCCAGAGATTCTTACCGATTTCTTTTAATTACCTAGTATCGAAATTTGTCTACTGATAGTAAAAATACACTATTTTATATTGAAAATGTGGTGTTATGGAATTCCCTCTGAAATATATAAGCAACTTGAACTTTATAGGTGAAGATAAAAAAGAATTTATTCTTTTGTTATCTTAATTTCAAAGACTGATTGTTTTGAAATTACCCCACAATTAACATGAAAATTTCACTTGCATTAAGCATCGATAAATCAAGGTAGACATTTTTTGAATAGCTTAATACATAGAATCTCACTAATGGTTGTTAATTCATTAAAAAGAATTGTAGATTCACTTCATTTGGTGCATTAAAATCGAAAATAAATACACTTACTCTTGATTATTGACTGTTGAATCAGATAGATTTTGATAAGTTTTCGCTTTGTAAATCTGAAATATAAGTAGTACGAAAGAATAACATTATGAAAAAATATTTTCAGGTTTCATGGTACTTTATATCACAAAAACTGATTTAAGTTAGACTGCTGTTGACAATGAGATGGTTATATCTTCTTGGTATAAAAATCTTCAGAAATTTATAGTGATAAGTTTGTTCATGGATCGAACAGAAAATTTCCAGCTTCCAAAATGAATGAATTAACTTTAACATCACTGTGGAGTTAATATCAACAACTTGAATTAATCTACATTAGTGATCTAATAATTAAAACTCAACCGAAGTATGATGGTCATTGTCTGAAATATTTCCAATATACCAATAATTAGATCTCAACATTTACCTTGGAATAAAGTTAGATATCATAAGATTAACCAACACTTTTATGAAAATATTAAACAAGGAAAAATATTGTTGAACAAGTCATTTATAACTCATTCAAATGTTGGCTATTATGATGGTTAACGCAAACACACCCTTTTCAGAAACATCCTGGGGAAATTAAGACTAAGTTTGGTGAAACCATGGGGTATATTTAATGAGAACCAGTGTATAATTTGGAGTTGTCTGTATTTACTCATTTTAGATTATCCACTGATTTCCACCAAATATACCCTATGGTTTGTACATACATCCTTATTTATAGCCTGAACTATAGGTATCTATTTCAATTAACCTAGTCTGTTTCCCTAGGATATTTGTGCAGCCGTTCTCTTTACGTTGATCATTATAACAGCCAACACTTGAATGACCTATAAATGACTTGTTGAAAAATCTTTTTCTCATTATATCTGCCCTCCTTTTGTTGTTTACTGTAAGTACTAAACAAACATGTCAGATAAATTCATGACAAATCTCGAATCTACAATGATGGATTATAATAGTGATTTGGTCTCATTCATACGTTAGACGTTCTTCCTAAAAGAAAGAAAGTTTGGAGATTCCTCGTTGTTCATTTAAAGGTTTTCCATATAACATGAATATTTATTGACATGAAACTGTTCCTTATAGTTTCTTAGTACTGCGTTTCACGTAATATATGGTTTGCCAATGTTTAATACAAAGGTATTAATACAAATGATGGGTTGAATGGGTATATACTTCTGAATTTATTCGAATTTACATGTGTTCATATTGGTTTATGAGCAAATGTGCGTGGTTTTCTTCACTGAACACTAATATTTATTAATGAGATATTACTGGAGTTGACTTTTTATATTTGAAATCAACTATGGAATATTTTATAAATTTCAGAATAGTTAACCAATGTTATTGGTAATATTATTAATTTGACAGTAAACTACTAAATAACTCATCTGAAGTTCTTCATTTTAATTTCATAAGTTGTTCAAGTTTTCTGTGAACACGGTGCACTTAGTAAACATAAATTTATGTCAACTTTCAGTTCCATAAAATGTAAATCACTACTTAAATACTTTAAGAACAGTATCACTATCTATTGATTTAAAGATAATTCATTGAGAATATTGTGTTTTCGTTGACAGTCTACGAACTTAAGAAATCGATTTTGAATTAAATTTTTTTCTATGTTTAATAAAAGACACTGGTGTTAACACACTATATATACATTTTTTTCAATGTTATGAACCCCAAGTTTTAGACAATGTACTGAAGTTTTTATGCATAAATTAATCATAAAATATTCAATAAAGGAATCGTAAAATCCAGTATGCCAAAAATACTATCGAATAATTAGATAATAAGTCATGCTTTAAGTGAAAATATTAAAAAAAAACATGTAAATTAATGTAATTCAAATATATATGTATATATATACATAAACATGAGTACTTACATTTATCTTATTCGAATCAATTTCAAATTCAGAAGAATTATGATTGGTTAATTTTAAAATTGGTTCAGAATTTGGTCTAGTCGGCCAATCATCAGCATGAGATTTGATTGAAATAACTGTTTTATTCAATTGTTTACATGGTCTATAATTAATAATAATAATGATAATGCATAATGAGATAACACTACTATAAAAACATTTTTAAGTATTTAGTTGGTTAATTAATAATTGAAAGTATTTTTTTTTCATTTAGTAACTTGTTTGTTTGTTTTGAAAGTCAAATAGTAGTTGATTTAAATATTTAAATAAATTTCAGATTAACAACTTTACTAACTAGTGATTAAAAGGATAGAAAAGTTTGAAAATGCAATGGTTGTATTCAATATTATTTAAGTAGTGCCTGATCATTTGTGTACATTTTCTGTCTTAATCTATATGCAATTCACTAAAATTAAATAATTTTTCATAGTTGAAAACATGGGTCAATTGAAGCTAGACTATCATAGAAAACCTGGAAGCACTGGACGGCCGTTTCGTCCTATTGTGGGACTTCTCAGCAGTGAGGAATTAATCATTTTTATTTTAGATAATGAGAAGACAAGTTAGACCGATAGTTTTCACTGGAAGATATTTCTGTTTTAATTTAATAGTTGACATCGATATGGAATTATTTAGAAACCGCAGTTGAATATTTCACAGTAGTTTCTAAATATCAGTTAATTTAACCCACATATCAAAATGAAGCGGTGTCTAATGTGACCTTTATTTGGATTAATTCATGAGTAGTGGTTTTTTATTTACTTAACCCTTCACCTTTAACCTCTGATTCCTGATTTACTATTATTTTTATTGTTAGTATTTTGAATACTTGCTTCAGATAAGCATCTATAAGTGTTTAGAAGAAAATGGCTCATTTAAAATACTTTTATATGAATCTATATACCAATTGAATTCAGTCTTAGATACTTCTGTCCAATATAATTGTATAATGAATGAGATTCAAGATCAATGAGTTTACAATACTGATAAGTTCTATATGTAGTCCTAACTTTATTCCAAATTCAAATACTAATATTTTCTTTGAAATAAAAAAATATTTAGGAAACTTTTATGAAAGTGACAAGTTCTTGGTTTGATCAGGCGAATAATTGACTTCGCTCAACATATAAATTTTGACAAAATATTAGGATATTCAATTGATTATTTAGAGATAAGTAGTAATTGTCACATCCTTGAATAATTGTTTCATCTTCGACTAATTAGTATAGATTAAGGGGATTTATTGGGGTAATATTTTCAATTCAGTTGATGCTTTTCAACCTAGGCATACGCAAACATTTTAAGTCAAAATATTTGATTAAATTATCTTATGTATATTTAATAAGACTGAAATATGAACAAAAGTTTCATGATTTATTAATATGAATATGAAACATGTTTTTTCGTTTTATTTCTGTTTTCCTCATTAATGGTCTCACACAGGGCCGCATTATATTACTAATTATCAGAAGGGGTTTTGTGGAGATTTAGCTTCAATTGACTGACGCTTTCAACTATGAAAAATATTACTAATTGCCGGAAATAAAAAGTGTGAATCGTTTGGACATAGATTCATTTGCTTAGTGTTATCTTGTTTGTTCTGTTCATTTACATTCTAAATAATGTTGAGGGGTTGCAAGCAATTCGTTAAGTGGTTATGGCCTTAGATTTCCTTTTACTTGACAGTAATAATGTTTATAGTTGGACTCGAACCCAGTGTCACAATGAGAGACATCAACACTGATCACTTCATAATCCCTTGGTCATGTGATATCCTAATTCGATCAACACTAGAGACTAGAAATACATGAAAATGATTAGTACTCACTGATCAATCGGTACTTTCCCAAGAATTTTTGTTTTAACCTCTATCTACATTTATTTCATCAACTATATTATAGCAGTCAAACTATGTTTGTTTACTTTTTCGATAACTTTCATTTATCTTTGCATCTATCCTTTTGTTCAATTAAATTGTGATTTTAATTAACCAGTTGATTAACCCATGATATCTTATGAATGATACAAGAACAATTATCCTCATTAAAATGGATTGTCACAATAAACACAATCTTTGTAGATAATTATCACTCGATTAGATCATATTTATAATGTAAATGAACTATTAGTATTTATTTATCTACATGATAGTTTAATGTCTATTTTAAATAATCTAATTACCAGCTAATTTTCTTTTAAGTAAATGACTCAGAGATTTCTTATTAAAAAATCCTGACGTTTATTTATCAAACTTTTAATTGACTTATAAACTGCTCTTCAATAAATAAATAATGTAGTGATTTGAGATGACCCGCCAAAAATGGATGTTTTTCAAATCTGTATAACCAAATGTATTTAAACATAATGAGTATTGAATATTTAATGAATCCCAATTACATAATTCCATCAGAATCAAGATTAACTTATTAATGTATATTTGAACTCAATGTGAAATTAATAGCAGTAAATATTCATTCTTATGAATTACTTTTTATAACTTTACCTAATGATATGGTTTATGTTGTTAGAAGAGCACATAAATGACCTTAATGATGAGGCAAAATATTATTTTCCTTGTTGTGTCACTGTGTTTATAAGTGGTAATAAACTTCTCGGAAATATGAGTACTAAAAAATGGAATTGGATCAAACCCAGTATTATTAAGCATAAAACAGAGTTACTCAATTTTCTCTGGTTTTTAATATTCCTCCAACTGATATAATTCTGCACTATAAACTAACTTCAGATTCTTATAAAATAATGAAAACAATAATGGATGTTCTGTTGATAAGTTTCTGATGGTATGAATATATATTTCCCTAATGCGTGCCGATTATGATATATATATTTTGTGACTAAATATCTAATGATTGAATGTAGTAGGTACGTAATCCGGAATCTAAATTTCATGCTTGTCAATACTCACCAGCAATACTATGCTTATACTATTGAGAAAACTGATATTTCCTATACGATTTAAAACAGTATTACCTGGTTTCATAATCCAAGTTATTGTTTAATTATTGATCTCTTACAGATTATCAATTTAGTTTTGAATTCAGATGACATTATTAACTTTATTTAAACAATACAACTTAAGCTTGATTAACTCCATTTAAAAAAAAACGCAGACATACATTAAGCCAATTATATCTTTGGTTGATATATTTATTTCTCAATACTCATTTATAATTCATTTAATTTACATTAAGAAATCTGTTGAAGAAGTATTAGTAGGCGGAATTAATTTTTTTATGATTGATAATAGTGGATTAGTCAAAACCAATTTAATTTTTGTATATAGATAGTTATTAACACCTAATATGTTCAATGACGATTATAATTAAGTTCAATAGTATCAGCTACTTTTCTTTACTTAGTATATTTGTTATTGAATAATTTTCCAAATGAAAAATCTAATTTACGCATCGATGGTGTCACCATGTTGTTTAGTAATAATAGTTAAATTAAACAAATTAAAAAAACACACATATCACACAGTTGCTGTGATAATTAATTTTTTCTCCAATGAAATATCTTGTAAACATGGTAGGTAAAATTGTAGTAAATACTAAGCGTACACACACAAAATTCGTAGTAATAAGTGACGAATCATCATAAAGTCTAAATAAAACTTTCGTCACGGAGAAACGTTGAAAACCGTAAAGCATTGTCTTGTTTTGGGACATCTCTTGAGCATGTACTCACAACATCTAGTAGGATCAAAATCAAGATCTTCGGTTCCTATGGTTGACAAAATAATATTAGACCAATGAGTACGAATGCAATGGCATGAATTTTCAAGCTTTTACACTTCGTTATGATAATCCAATCGTATCTATCAAACATGTACTACTCTAGTTATGCTTAAACTACAAAAATGGCAATTTCACATAGGTTAAAATCGATCTCCAGAGAAGACGGCCTATTTAGTAGATTTATAAATAATAAACGTAAGCAAGGTAAAAAAAAGTCTTTATGCCTATGAAAATAAGCACTTAATAAAATATCTTACTGTAATTTATACTTGGTAGCATTTGTTAAATCTTCTGTAAAGTTTTGATCGATTGCTGAGCTATTATTTTGACTATGACACCGTATAGCTAAGTAGATATTATAAAAAATGAAAAAAAATCATGGTTACTCTTTTATTTTAAGAAAAGAAGAATAAGTTATTGAAAAAAGCAATAGATAGTTCGAAATTTCTCATAAATTCACGTTGAAATCTGGGTGTGTTTGTTTCCCATTGTGATAGAAATCATAAAGAGAATTGATTTTGATATGTTTACCACGTTTATCTAGCAAAATTTAAAAAATTTACTCATTATTACACGAATCTCGAAAATATCACTATTGTCTATTTCTTTTGATGAAAGTATTCATACATGTTTCCGTTAATTTTGGTAATTGTGTATGGAAATATCATTCTTGGTAATAGTTTGAACTATTCCTCAGTTGATAATGAGGACTGAGTTTTTTAATATTTGTTTGCATGCGTATGTCTTGCTAGATTGATTCACTATAGCTCTTTTGTGTGAATTTAAACGCTGAGATTGAGATTTATTCATCTGCTAAGTCCCAAATAAGACCAAACGTCATCCCTGGATTTCACTTCGAATCAAAATTCATATTTTCTTAAAAAATTTGTATATGAATACCGTTCTACAGAAATATGATGATGTTCAATAATTCGTGAATCAAATCTGCATCAACGAACATAAAGTCCATCATTCATTACTCCACTGTTTCACAACAAGACGGTTAAAATCAAAATATGTAGCTCATTTATTTCATTTAATCCTACAATACACTTCATTTATAGGTAAGTTTGTACCAGAATGAATAAGAATTATAAAATACTGGCACATATTACTGTCAACTTTCGTTTCCTTAACTGAAAACCAACATTAAGAGTACAAGATTTTGACAACTTCCAGGTCTCTCGGATTATTTCAGTATCTATCGGACTTGTATAGCCTCTCTCTCTCTCCATATATATATATATATATATATATATATATATATATATATATATATTAAATATAGAACTATTTTTGTATCATTACATGGTTACTTAATAAGTATTAAGTAGTAAAGCTGGTTATTCGCAAATAATTAGCATCCCAAATACCCATGTATATTGTCAATTAATTGTAATACAATTTATAAAAAGTAACCAACCTTCAGTCTCATTTACTTGCTCACCGTTTCGTCTAGTGGGTGAGAATGGAATGATGACGTCCCCAATGTTGTTAGAACCAGTGGCAGATATTGTAGGTAGATGGTTGTCTTCAGCGTTACTTGTCTAAATTTTAAAGACGAGTTCATTTAAAATTCAGTAAATAATTTCATTTTCTTACGCACTTGAGTACTTTTAAAAATAAAACCCACTTGTCACTGACTAAGTTGTCCATGGTATAGAATAACTCATCAGATGATAATAGATGTTGAGCATTTGTTTCAGCACACAAATGCATGTATACTATTATACTGAAGGGATGTACAAGTTTTCTTCTTAATTTTGTCAACGAAACATTATTAACTTGTTCATCGTTTTCAGTATTAACCGAAGTGAACAAAGTTTGCTTTCAAAATATACTACGTTAGGATTGGATAAATGTATTTATCTATTCTTTGAAAGTATTCGAAAATTAGTTATTGATCACATTATTCCAACGACTGATCTAAAGATATTATACTCACTGAATAGTGGGACTATAATTTCTGAGTTTAGTCTCTCATGTATTGCCAAACCGAGTTGAGATGATTAGGTGTCGCTTCATGATTTTCAATGGTCTTCAGTTAGTTAAATTTTGTGGTGATAATCGCAAAATTAAATTTACCGCTTTCATATCTTTACCTTGGTAAATTAATCCTGTTATATTTCCTCAACCAAATGCAGTAATATCAAATAACCATCTATACAAAAATACTGTAAAGTATGCCAAATTTAGACAATTCAGTAGCTACTAAATAATATATCCTAAAACATAATCAAGTTATAGCGAAAAGGAAGTCTCTAATCTTTTAATAATAAGAAATGGTGTATTCAGGTATTCATTGTGAGATGAAAGTATATCAATTAAATAACAAACGAATATATATCTGGATATTTAAGTCGTCCATTTCTCCCTCAGATATCAGGGTGAAAACTGTTCATAATGAAAGTTTTTATTGTATGAGAAACATATACTAAAAATAGTGTAGAATTTATCTCATACACACTAAAATGTATCATACGAAAAAGCATATCATATAGCTAATCGTGTTTTAATCATTTCTTACCTTAATCTACACTAGTGTTAATTATTTATATAATAAACTTATCAGCTTAAATATGACATATGATTCCAAAATGATTGGTCGATAACAATCGCTTTTTTTTCTAGAAAACGTTTGGATTTAGTCTTGATTTTGACAATGAAAACTTTCGTTTCAATAATGAAATAAGTCGTAAAGTGTATTAATCACAGATTGATCCAGGAAGGCAGTGGATAATCTACAACTGGAACCAATCACTACAGAACCTTCTCAGCTAACATATAAAATAGGTTAATAAACCATTGAGTTAATTGTTACTAAATGTTTTTTATTAGCTAAATCATTTCACTGGATTGAATTGGTTAGCAATTTTTGTTAACGAAAATTTTTATTTAGTCTTAAATGACACATTAATAGAGTCAAAACTTTGTTTTCACCATATGAGATGTTTCCATACGTGATTTTTTAATTTAAAATATATTTAATTAATATTATCCAGCTTAATTCTCAATAATTACATATTACGTCATCATGATTGAGAACAATGATAGCAGAGTCATTTTATATCTATGTGGGAACATTTTTTTAAAAAAATTATAAAAGATTCAATCCCTCCTTCCCTTTTTTATTATTCTGTTCTTCTATCTACCTTTATCTAATCTTCAGATAATTTTTTAAAATCATAAATCTCTAGACAATATCTTCACTACTGATAAATATTAAGTAATTACTAGTGGAGATAACTTAATTACTTCGCACACACACACCAAAAAAAATTAATTTATAAAAATCAAACAGTTTTACTTTTTTCTAAGATCCATCAAATTTAAAAAGTTAATTGTAAAGTTTGAGTTAAAATAAAGTGAACATGTATAATATCTTAAACAACTTCATTATTTATTAATCTCTTATACTTACTTCGTCTTTTGTTATTAAAAAAAGAAGAAAAGAAGAGAGAAAGAAAGAAAAAGAGAAAAAAGAAAGAAAAGAAAGAAAAAAGAAAAAAGTTCATTGATAATTGCTATTAATAAAAATTAAATAAAAATTCATTGAGCCTTAGAGTGAAATAAAATAGATTAGTTTTGTATAACATACATGTAAATAATAATAATAATAATAATAATAATGTTTACATGTACTGGGAACAAAAAACAAACAAACAAAATAGGGATGAAATAATTGATGAATTAATATTTATCAAATTATATATAATGACTCACAGTTGGAGTTTTATGTAATGATGAAATAAGTTTTCTATCCGATTGACCAATATATTCAGATAATAATTTAAATTTCTTATTAATTATTTGTTCATTACTATCAACTATAATTGAAAGAAAAGAGAAAAAGAAAACAATTCAACAATAATAAGAGAATTAAGAAAATATTAATAAAATTATCATTTTATGTAGGTGAGATCATGAGTCGATTGAAGCTAGACCATTTTATAAATACTGAAAGCACTGGACGGTCGTTTTGTCCTATTGTGGGACTCCTCAGTAGTGCGCGTCCACGATCCCGCCTCTCGAGATTTGAACCCAGGACCTATCAGCCTCGCGCATGAGTGCTTAACCTCTAGACCACTGAGTCGGAATCCAACCGTGGTAATGTCTAACTTCAACCAATCCATGAAGTTTGAGCAACCGTTCACCAAATGTCTTCAGTGAGTTGATATCTCCCAACCGACCTGGTTGAACTCCACTGGTTACTGCTTCTCTAACTTCAATTGACTAATGACCACAACTATATAAAATTACTAAAATCTCCACAAAACCCCCCTCTGAAAATTACCATTTATGAATGAAAAGTTACAGTTCAATCACTAGTGACACTTATTGATTACCAAAGTATATAGTGAATAATTTGAAGTTGAAAGTATGATACATTCGATCATAAAATAGTGGTTTAAAGTTTATGCACTTTATGTGTAATCTAAAGATCCGAGCCTGATCTGTATTCGGACATTGATGAGGAGTTCTGTATCAGAAAGAGTTTCATTAAAGATTACATTGTGTGTTTGATTAACCATGAACACTAGATTACATATTAAATAACATTAAAATATAATAGCAAGGTTCTTTTTGTGAATTGTTATTTACTTTGAATTACTTCATATATTACATTCATAGAGTGGATCATTTCATTTTGTCTTAGGATATGATAGTTTCTTCTACTCTTAGAGGTATTTTTATTATTAAATACTTCTGAATATGTGATTTTCATAAAATAATTTACTTTTATCCATTTTTGTTGTGTAATCATTACATTATGATCGCTCATATTTTTCTTTGTATTATATTTATTGTTTAACGGATGCACTAGAAATGTTATAAACATGTGGTGAATTAAACAAGGTTATGATCATTGATTTTGATCATGTTCAATCTGTTGAAATATTTCGCTTTGATAATCTGATTAGACTGTTATACAGCGTGTTTAGTATACATTTTTCAGTGGTCTATATGAGATTTTGAAGAAAGGTTCCCTAGTTTTTAGTTTTTAAACTAAATCTCTGCTTACCATGCTTGTGAGTTAAGGCTATATCAAGGCAATGCGCACAGTATGCACATATGCCAATTAGAGACTGACCAGTTGCAGTCCTAACACATCGATGGGAAGATTCAAACAAACAATACTGTATGAATTTAAATCGATAGATTTGAAGAGAACAACTAGTGAAATACTTAAGCTAGTAACATTTAGCATTAATCATTATGTCATAAAATATTTCTTGTACGCCTAACATATTTATTTATTTAATCAACTATAACAATACCAAAGTGGTACTTTAATTTAAGCTTGAGTTTATGTGTACCATTTCTGCAAAGAATGTAAAGAATTGTATTGCTTATTCACTATCCAGATCTGATAGTTAAAGTCTATGACTGACAAAAATATGTGACTGTGGATTGTGTTTGTTAAATATTCATTTGATAACCATAATATAAACTACTAAAATTCTGACAATTTTCATCTCGTTTGCTTTATGATTATATTGAATTCAAGGTCTGATAATTTACAAGTTTTTAGGTTATTTTTATTGACTTTTGGTCGTAAGGCTGTAAATAAATGTTTTTACGAGATCATGTTTATTCAAGAAAAAACATTATATCGACTTGACACTGAACAATAAATAAATTATGACAGTTATGTAAGTAGCAATTTGAAAATTATACCGACAACTTCCAGTAGGTCAATACTATATCGATGTGGTGGGACGAGGGTTAAACCTGATAGCTGAGGATTAATTCTATTAAAAAGTAAACGCCATGTAATTCCCATGTCTTCCAGTCACTTATTCTCTAAATGATTTCTAACCATATTTACTTTTGTGACTAGTATTTTATACATAAGTGTTATACACGTGTTAGATGAAAAAGCCTATTTCTACTGGGCAGCTATCTTATTTTTTGTCATCTGCTTAGATCAGTAATTCGGTATCGCTGGCAATCATAACCCAACCACTTATTATTGAGAATCCTTTTTCCTTCTAACAATCAAAAATATATTCGTAAAAATTATTAAATCTTCTGTAATACATAAAGGCCATTTATTTTTGTTATTACACTCATAGATATCATTTAACCAACAATGATAAGTGTAAACAAAATAAATAATACATAACCAGTGAATAATCAGTAAATAAGTAGTAACAATACACAATAAACTCTAAGTATGAGTCTATAAGACAATAAAATAGTTTACAGAAGGAGGTGACAATAACTTAACATCAAAAATCACTAAATGACAGTTTCCTTATAGTACTTAACACTATTTAGCACTGTATACTGATGATCATGCACGATTTCGAACCTGTCACATTTATGTTTCTTGATGAACATATTACTACTTAGCTATTCATTCAGATTCTAGTAGACCATATTGACTAATTTCATTTAATCTGTGATGTAACACGATTCATTCATTTTCATATGTCATATATGTCATACTCTTGAACTTACTAAGTTTATAAATAGCATGTCATCTATACATTTATCTAGAAACGAGTCATTGGTAAATAAACAACTAAAACTGATTTCGGTAATCTATAGAAACCTGTTTATTTTAAAGCACAAACTAACAACTGAAACAATATGAGAAAATATCCATCAAATCAAATTATATCTTAACAAATAAGTCAATTAAATATTATTATTAATCAGTTAGGAATCATATATACATTTATATAGACAGACATAAACACATAAATGTCTGTATAGATAGTCAATAGAAGAAAAAAGAAGAAAATCTTTCAATATAAACAAATTTCTATCCTTTATTATTATTATTATTATTTTTTCCTCATTCACTCTCCATCCATTTGGATTCTCTCAGTCATTTTCTTACACATTTTTTTTAGAGTTACTTGTATTGCAATAGATAAGAAGTAAAGGAAAATGTGTAAACAAATTGCTTTTAAAACATATTTTATGATAAATTAAGATTAAAATTTATATTAGAAGTAATGTAATAATATAACCGATAACTAATCAGGTGGATAAAAGTGGACATATTTGTATAGTAGATAATGAGTGTTATTGTTTTCTTGAATGTGCAATTTTCTATTAGCTACAATTATTTATTCATATAAAAATAGATTAAGTGAACTATGTGAATTTTACCCTGTCAATGTTTCTACCCTTAGTAATTTTTGCATTTTTTTGGGGGGTGTTTAATTCTCTTTGTTATTCTATATCTTTAATTCCCTCTCTTTCTCTCTTTCTCTCTCTACTTTACTTACTAGCTATATCCAGTTAATTTTGTAAGCCTCCCAGTAAATAATATAAAATTTTTAATTATCTTTTCTCTGTCTGTCTTGAATTATATCAATGTTATTTTTAAGTGTGCTTTGTATCAATTCTGGTTTGTATTAATGTAAACAACATGGATTTAGTACACATCATCTTTGTCGTCTCTTTTTCTATCTTTCTCTATATCCATAATGTGAATTATTCTAGTTACTGTAATTGGTGCATACGAGATTGTATTTATAAAGAATTAGTGATAAGAAAAATTTTTTTTTAAATGACGGTGACGTAGTAGAGATCTGATTACCACCTTCGCTAAGAATTGTTCAATTCATTTGAGGATAAAAGTCATGGAAACTGATATAAATATCACATATTATGGAAGAACACTATATTTATACATTTAATGTTATCTAGATTCTTAGGTTAGTGAAATGAAGAAATTTTTTTCATGTAATAATTTGTTCATTAATGTTTATTAATTGAAGTAGGAAAATGAAATAGTCAATTTTAACTGTACAGATAAACATATCACCATGTGCTTACATAAGTATATGCACAGATACAAACACACTGATTATATTATATGTGAAAAAATTATATTTGAAATAGTCTCAGCGATTGAAATTTAAATAATTCCAACGTTTCGTCCAGCTAACTTGTTTGGACTTCTTCAGGGAAATAATCAAAATCAAAATCATCAAAGAAATATATAGTGTTTTTACAATCATATCAAAATCTCTACTACTTTTTAATCCAATCATATTTGGATGTCGAAGTTTTTGTAAACAGGATAATATGAGTCAGTTGAATGAGAATCAAGTGAAAAGTTCAACGATGTGAATTAAAGGAGACTGCATAAATTGTGTGTATGTATGTATGTGTAAGATGAGTTATTAATGATGAGTGATATTCAGTGTTGATATGTTTCTATGTGAAGTAAAATAGGAATAAACGTGCATAATGAAGGTTGAAAAGTTTTTCTCCTTTCTGAATCATCGAAGTTGCAAATAAAATGAGAATCATCAAGTACATAAATTGTAATGTTAAACATAACTCATATTGATTTCAGTCATAATAACGATTCATGTGAAGTAAACAGGTTGAATAAAAGAAAAAGGTCAAATTACTTGCTGAAGAATATTTGCCAAGTGGTAGCTAGCTGAATACCATCCTTTCTGTTTAGGCTGTTCTTATTCGCCCATATATACAGCGCTTCTGCTGTCAATCTTTCTTTGTGAGTGTTGAAACCTTTCTGAAGTATTTTGGCCCCTTCAAAATTAATCATGTGTCCCGTTTCCAACGCATGTAACGCTATTGCAGACTTATTCTCAAGTTTCTTTAAGTCAACCGAGGTTTTGGGAACGTTTTTTAAACACTGTTTGTGTTCCTTCAACCTTACCTTCAATTGTCTGGATGTTTCTCCAATATAAGCCGCATTACAATCATGACAATTGATCTCATAGACAATATTTTGTTGTTCTTCCTTTGGTAACCTATCCTTAACCTTCACCAATGACGATCTTATAGTGTCACATGTTCTAAAATACACTCTTATATCATGTTTGTTTAAAAT